TTTTGAAACATCAAAATATTTCCTAATTAGCGTTTGGTACTAGCGCTGATCCCGTCACCAATTTTTGAAACATCAAATTTTTTCCTAATTAGTATGCTATCTTATTAAATCGACCATGTGGCGACTGCGGGGAACTGCGGAGGAAGATTTTATCATGTGACTCACTTTTCTGCTTCAGCAGATCCGCTTGCCGTAACAGTATACAGTGAAGAGGGATGAAAAAAATTTTTTCTTTTTCAATCTTTTCAGTTACAATCACAAGATCATATGCAGTCGTTTACTTTTGCGGTTTGAAAAAAAGCAACCATAATCCGAGTGTAGGTTTGAAGATGGCTATTTAATCGATACAATTTGTATTTATAACAATCGCACGATTTACAATTAAATGATGTAAACTAGTAATATGTCAATCATACAATCAAATATGATACGATTCTTCGTAATCTTGCAAATGTGGCATATCAGAATTGTTTATTTTCAACAATACCATCAATCATATGATCGATGTTTCGCAATATCGCAGATACTGATATATAAATAGATTTCAGTAGAAGCAATAATTAAACACAAAGGTTGACATATTCCTTCCTATAATCAGCCGATTATTTCCTTCCTGAATTATTATATTATCAACATTTCGAGGATCGAGTGTCACCCGAACAAGGGTAGTACAATCAGGGATTTTACTCGATTTGGTCGCACCATTTTGTGGGACATGCTAAGCTGACGACAGCATTTATAATCTTGTAGTTACCGGGGTAGTCAGTAAAAAACGGTTTCCTTCATGTCAAGAAAAATAGATCGTCGACCTGGAGGTAATTTTATCTAATTTCACTCCTTTCTTGATTATGAAAGCGCTAACATGGATAGAACCTATTTACAGGTATTATTGATGAAGATACTAGACGGCAAAGTCTAAAGCGTCGTCTCGACGGTCTTGAACGTGACAACTATCAAGAAGTACCCGAATTAGAACTTCTTGGAACAGTTATTAAACCAAGAAGGACATCAGAAGTGGGTGATCGAGACGGGACGATAGCCAGTATGTTGTTTATTACCAGTTTTGTATCCATTTTGTATTCTTGAACAAATTACCGATCTCCCGAATTTGCGAATCAGACAAGAAACCACGCCTACGAAGTAAGAAAGAAATTCTCCGCCAATTGTATATCAAAAAATCTTTAAAGACATTAATCGACGAGTCGAGAATAGAACTGGTTTCGGAAGACGTGCCGACATATTTAACGGCGGCTGCTTCGCCTTCAAAATTTCCTCCAAAGAAATTTTGTTCGGTGTGTGGGTTTTTATCAAAGTACAATTGTAAACAGTGCGGTGCGAAATATTGCAGTTTGGCTTGCAAAGCCACGCATACAGACATGAGGTATATAAAGTTTGAAAAATGGCAGTAACAAATTTTTGTTTTGCAGTTAGGCGATTTAATCACGTTTTGCATATATAGGTGTATGAAATATACTGCATGAGAAACACACTGGAAAATCCAGGGATGGGCTCCGAGATCGTACTTCTGCGGTAAGCTCAACAAATTTAGCAAGTCTACGGTCTTGGGATTGGGTTCCTTTCCCCCTCCCTCACTCCTCTCTTTGGCATGCCAACGGGTTATGAACTTATTCGCACCAGAACGTGCACAGGTGTAGTTTATCTACGATCGAAAAGTCCATAAATCCAAACATTGTTGTGAATCTATTATAATCCAAGAATCTCCACTCTCCACTCTCCACTCTCCACTCTCCACTCCGTCCCTCACACATAAATAAGTTAAATCAAAAAATTCTATATTTATTCCAATCGCTAAATTGCTTGATGCCAGCCTCTCTTCAATCCCTTATTTGCAATTTTGAATAAATCCAATGTTCAACCTTTTCCCATACACTTTACACAGATAGATCCTTTGTCTATCCACCCAATACAATTGTATTAGTATCTTACAAATAGGTCCTTCTTTATGGTTTACGTGTATATTTTACAGTGGAATGAAAAGATTATTTTTGACCCATGACAATAGCAAAGAACATGCCCGCTACCAAAAGCACACTATTAAAAACGGAGTGATACAATATTACGGACGAAGCTGATGAAGAAGTAGTACTCGTAGCTGGTCTGATTGGGTTTGGATTCGCTTGAGTCGCATAACTAACAAATCATCAGAATGATTTTCATGATTAGTGATAAGGCAGGAAGCTAATATAAAAAAGTGTATTTATCACATTTTGTTCTCTCCCCCCCTCTCCGTATATCCTTGGTCATACTCACCCAAGACTTTCCAAAACTCTAAGCAATTTCGGACCAACAGCTCCACCGCTAAAGTTTCCGTTTTGTACAATAGCATCACCAAGAGAAACTCCTCTATCGGCCAAGAACCTCATCAAGAAATCACTTTTCTTTGTAAATGTGGCAAAGTCTACATGGCTTATACTTGATCCTTGTTGATAAGGATTCAAACTAGTTTCCAAGAGAACGGCATTATTCAAGTCGGTCTCTCCCTGTGGAAGAAAGCCCATAGCACCTTTGGTGATAGCGAAGTTGAATGTATTTTTTGCAATTTGATATTGCGGACTCCTAGCAAACGCGTTCGCAAAAGCATTAATATCCCGAATTTGTGCCCCGGCACCAGTAGAAAAGGCATTTAATTGTGCTGTGATATCCGACATTTTCTGTCCTGTAGACATGATGACCATGTACTTGTCAAATGCAAATTCCGAAAACTGAAATGATGCACCCGATCCACCAGATGCACCAGTTGGCGTCACATCCGGTGTTAATGCTTGTGGTACTTGATTAATGTAGTCATCCCATGATGATGTGAATCCGAGTCCATGAACCAGCTCGTGCAAAATGACAAAAGTAAAATCAGATTGATCCTGTCTTATTGGAGTATTGTCGTCTTCAAACCAGAAATTAGCAACTGAATTGAACATGGCCAAGATATCAAATGAGGAGAACTGTGGACGGCTTTGCGGGTTCATCTGTTTCACTAGAGCTTGAGGGAAAAAGCGAGTTTTGCCATCGTCGTCCTTGAGCGGAAGGGTACGGGCGGGAGCGGCACCACCTAATTATTGGGGAGAAAAAATCGGGATAATCAGTTTCTAGAACATCTTCATCCAGACGCCGTAAAGCTCAAAAATTAGTCAATTGCTTAGATTAAGCGGTCCCTACTCACCGAGTGTCAAGAACCCGTTCGTAGGACAATCATTAAAGCTTTGACAGAAATCAGTAAATGTCGCGTTGACGGTAACCGGTGTGTTTAAAATCAATGATCCGGTCAATATCTCGCCCGCAAGATTGAATGCGCGTTGGACTTTATTACATTTGACGTTATCAGAAATGAGACACGTTAGTGTTATTTGAAACATGTTTGTTGCATTTCCGGTATTTTGTCGTCGTTGTGGAGGTGCGGTTTCCATTGGGCATGGGACAAAAATTTTGGGGTGAGGATCTGGCGAATACTCTGCATCCTTGCAGTAGGGTGTGCCGTCCGGAACAGGTGTTGCGGTAGAAGATTGTGTGTATAAGAAAAGGTTTATTATTAGAATTAAAAAGAAAGCGGTAAATTGATTGCAGGATTTCATTTCGGTGGATCTGAAAAGTTGTGTGTTTGAAAAAGTATTAAGTGAGCGAGAGGGAGAGGGAGAGGGAGAGGGAGAGGGAGAGAGAGGAGAAAGGGGAGGAGGAAAAGAAGAATGAAATGAATGTATATGGTTGTTTATAGGGAGAAAGAGTATATCCTCTTGCTTGAGTCTAGTGGGCTGGTAAAACTAATGTCCAAGGTTTTACCAAATTCAAGAGCGACTCGCGAGGGTAAAGGAATAAAGAGCTATGAGCAAGGTCACGGAAGTATATGACTATTTTGTGTTGCTATTACTTGCAGTCTATGTACAACAAATAACACTACTACTGCTGCTGGGCTTCAGTAGGGTTTCTTTGGAATGCCAAAGGCGTATATATATATAGATATATATACAGCTACGGCTAATGTGAACGTTGACCTGCAACGGAGTTAAAGTCTACCGAAAAGAATAAAATGATCGCTCTAATATATATAAAGAGGGGGGGGGGGGGATACTCTTTGAAAATGAATAAAAAAGAGGCCAGCCTTTGAGGAATTATGGGCAATTCGCATGTTTATTAATGCGTGGTGAAACAGGAGTAAACCAATTGTTGCAATTGCATAGTTATATAATCTAGGAGATTTTTGTTACGTTGTTCGAAATGGAATTGCAATGACAAAGGGGGTTCAAATATCGAGGGAGATAATAACCTGTTTAGTCGTGAATGATTGATATACAATACACTGTTGCCATTACCGTTATCAATGCTGTTTGCGATTGCTGTTGCGATTGCTGTTGCTATTAACGCTAATCTCGGATCAGGACCTTCGCCTTCATTTACTCTATAATTACATCCAGTTATCACCGAGGAACCAGGTAAGCACAAGAATTCCAAGGTAGAACTGTGTTCGCGTGAATGCTTTAGACTACCATATTAGGAAGTGTACTGTTAATTACGTTCTGCAGATAATATTATTGGTGTTATTAATCAGCAAACCATTTTATTTGAACTGTTTAATTAAAGAATATTATGACCAAAGGTAGATATAAGCATAAGAAGTTTTAGTCAACGCTATCCATAAAAGGCTTAAATCTCTTTACAAATAATACTAATATGAACTGGATATTAATTTGATGTTGTTGGCAAGTTTCTTCGACTCAACACTTCGATGCTGCGGTTTTGCTAATTGCCTGTTCGGGGGTGCCAAGCCTCTCCTTTTACTTTGGACAGAATGTTCTAACATTTAATCATCAGGCACAAGATTTAATTAAAGTAAAACGGTGCTAAATATTTCGGGAGGCTGGCCACATCCCAAGCAGATCAAAGTTTCTCCCACTGCAAAAGAACGTATTCGTTTACTATATCGAGTCTGGACGATGGGCATGAGAGCAACAATTATTTTACAAATGAACATTCATAATTAAATTCTGTCGTCCTTGGAATGTATGTATCAATGTTTTACTGAAATCTCACGATAAAATTTAATTACGAGAAATTCTGTAACGTGCAAACATTCACGTTTTTACGTTACATACAGTCAAAGCTCACAATGGAATCGCATTATAAAGGAACCCTTGTCCCTTTGTCACAATTTTCATACATTACAAATAATATACAATGCTCGTGCTATTACTATATTGCTTTGTATTACTGCGTTTAATGAAGCACCTGTATCACCTGACGTAGAAACGCCAAGAAATTACACATGCCCGATACAAACGTGCCAACCTGATTTAGAAAAGTACGTGAATAGGTTCTCACAATAATGTTTCGAAATAACTACTCCGCCCCATAATCCAGCAAAGATGTCATCGTGTTTAAGCCCCCCTTCTACGGTATATGGACATGATTAGCCGATAGGAAGCAACAAAAACATGTCTATTGTTTTAATCTTGTCAAATGCTTCTTCTCAATGTTTGTCAAGTATACAAGCTTCATCTCCTTATTCGACAAACGCATTGTATGGGCAAGTATAATTTTAAAAAACGTGTTTATTATTATTATTATTATTATTATAGGAAAACCTGCCTTAATCGTCATGCTAACGACATTTATTCTCGACTGTGAGAAAGTAAGAACGAAATGACACATGAATTACCAATCACCCGGAATTTTCTCGATTTTTGTGTTCCGTTTTCGGGGGTTATCCTAGCACTTTCCACGATTGCTTGGCGGATGTGCTTTTGTAAATAAAATATTTTGGTTTCCAAGATCATTATTAATTAGGATTCTTCTCTGATCAAAGAGCGTGCAAACTTTAAGGGGCGTGCTTAAGATTATTGGTTATAAATAATATTTGCATACTAAGAAATTATTAAAAGGTAGTGACGTTTAGTATTAGTATTTATGTGGATCTCGGTGTAATTAAGACGACTGAGATAAGGAGAAGGCATCATGCAATAATAAAATATCGGGGAACCAAATGGGAAGTTTTTATTTAAAAATTGCAAAAAATACCGGATTTTCTATTTAAATCAACCCTGGACTTGTCAGAATCCAGACGTAGATGGTTGCTAATGATGCTTATGGAATAATTTATTGAGAGCCAGAAAGCACCTGTTTCCGAAATTAACCAAACAAATTAAACTTTTTTTAATTCTAATACTAACGCCAAACCCTCCTCCTTTGGATAATAAAGGCAAAATTTTCTACTCCTTAAACCCTCTTGACTAATTTTAAGTTCACTCTTACGGGGGTTTTCATAACATTCGTTCATTTGTTAAAGACTAATTCCAAAATATTTTTGGGCATGCTGCAACAAAACCAGACAAAGTAACCAAGGGGCTGATTATATGTGGCTGTAAAATTGACCAGTGTGACTGATGACATTTTGAATGGTAAATAATGTGCTCATTCATAACTTCTGGACTGGTTAATTTTAATGTTCCCTTTACCATACCAGAATGTGATAAATATAAATCATAACAGAATTAATATATATATTAATATAGGATTGTCTCTATATAAAAATATAAATATGAAACTAATTTACATAAGTCTACTGTGGAACCCAAGAATTACAGCACCATTGGAAGCATTCTAAAAAAAATTGCTTTCTATGTTTTTAAAATAAATGATACCCAAACTCTTCAGGAATATCTAGATCAAGAAAAAATTACTTATGAAATTTACCAACAAGAACGAAAAATCACAACTAGTAAACGAGCATTAACACCAGCACGTGATGAACAAAAAAAGAAGCGAAAACTTGAAGAAATGTAAGAAAAATAAATTCAACGTAAAAGCTTCCGCACTGATCGAACAGCCTGTCATTCTTTATTGATAAAGACTGCTCGAACTTGCAACCAAGAGTAAAATTACAAAATAGAATTCAATTTTTGTAAGCACAATTTCAATATTTTTATTATAGCGTGCGATCACTTTTGAAAATATAAAAAATAATAAAAGCACCAGAGTGATTGCATGGGAGGAAAATACTCCAAAGTCATTTATGAGTATAACCTATTCTTTGGTCACTCTAGTGCAGATTTAACGTTCATTATCTTCTATAACGTTATTATTACTATGATCAATTTTTTTATTTCCAGTTTCATTTTCCCCATCTACATTTTCCTTTTCTTCATCGATCCAACGTTGGATTACCTCAATAGTCTTTTTTCGCGGGGTTGTTCTTCGAAGATAAAATTTCGTATTGTAGAAGCCGCAACAGCTTTTTCTTCAAGTAACTTATGAATTTCAATGCCGTTTTGTCAAATAAAAACTTTGGATCCGATTCGGGTTTTTTAATCATATAGTCGTTTCAGAGCGTTCCACAACGTTTTGACATCTGGCGAATAAACTTTGTTCTCTGTTGGTTTCGTTTTTGATAACTTTCCGGACTTCTTAGTATTCTCATTTTGTGGAGTTGGCTATTACAGGTCATGCCAAGAACGAAGCCAATTAACACTCCAAGGAGGAGTTCACTTGTGAATGTAAACATTTTTCGCAAAGCGTATTTGATAAAAATTGTTTGATACGTTTTTGTTTATCTTATTTAAGATATTTATTATGTTGTGGTTAATTTTTCTGAAAATAAGCCACTAGTGTTGATAATAAATCGTTTACCATGATGCTTAAATATAAATAGACGAAAAGCGTGTTTTTGCGCGTCAATTATTATTGGTCACACTGCATACAATGGACAATCGCGTTATTACAATAGATCATCGCATCGCGCAGCACATCAAACTTTGACGAAAAAAAGAAATGGCAACTGTCAAGAAAACCGAACAAGAGCTTTATGACGATGTCAAGAGAGAGTTAAACGATGGCGAGGGGGCGTTCGAAGGAGATGAGGACGAGGAATTACTATTGAAGAAGCTGAGGAGAAAGCGGATGGATGGGAAGGGGACCGAGGCGCAGCAGGCAGAGTGGAAGGAGGAGAAAGAGAAACTAGAGAAAAAGAAAGAGAGGTTAGAAGCGGAGGTTACGAAATGCAATGACGATGTTAGAAAGTGCCGAGAGGCACTCTTAACGTCGACGACTCAACCAGGTAACGACTTTGTGACTCGAACGTTGGGACATAGGTAGTGTGTATATGGGTAGAGCAGACAGAGTTGTATTTATACTATGCTAATAATGTTGACTTTGACAGTTGGCATATGATAGTTATGGAGTATATTGATGCTGAAGCCAAACTTCAAAAACTGCCTTTGGAAAAGAAAAAGCATGTCTACAATGAGGTAAAAAAAGCAATTGGGCTCCTACACAATAAGAATGTCATCTTTGGGGACCTGTGCATTTCTAATATTCTTGTTAGGAAAGAACAAATGGAAGAACAAGTGAAAACAGTATTGATTGGTGTGGGATAATGAGAGAAGCAAGATATTCTTCAACATTAAACATGGAGATTTTA